CGCTTCCAAGGTGAAGCTGCAATAGCTGAAAGATGTTATGCCCTAAACACTTCTCTCTTCTTTCACCACAGCCTTTCTATTAACTCTCACTTTGGTCATGAGAGGTGAAAAATACCCCTTCTGTGTCCCTTTCTCACCCTAAGAAAACTCTTCCAAGGCCTAAACTCGATTTTTCTTGCTACAGTTGAGGACTGCTGCTACGTGTGCTACCCACCAGGAGCACGAAAAGCAGACTAACCCCTTCTTCTCGTCAGCAGCCCTTGTGCATATTTACAGCATATTAACCCATCCCTGCTCCCCCCTTTCCTTTCCACTCTTCAGCCCCAGCGAGCCCCCGGCATCTCCAGCCCACCAGCGTCACTGTCATGAACTTCACCGAGCACTGGGGAGAGACTCCTCGAGCCAGTTAGCACCGGAGCTGGGGTGACTGGGAGGGCCTGTTGCTGAGTGCTGGGTGGGTGACTGCACCACGCTCTCGGTGATGTACGCCGTTTCAAGCACATTGGGCTTTAAGATGACTGTAAATGCCCCCTGCATTCACAGCAACGTGTAGCATCATCTTCATCAGAGGAAGAGCACGATTGCCACGGGCGCTGGGAATAAGCTCCAGGAGGAACTGGGGAACTACCCAGACCCGTGTTACTCCTCCCTGGTACTCAAGGACATCCCTCCAGCCTTTGCTTTACGGAAAGTGCGAGGGTCGGGCAGGAGCAGGGTGTGCGTTCAGGGCAGCCCCGGTAAAACGAAGCGACCTGGGGAGGGAGGAAGCAGCCGGTGGCAAGGAGCACTGGGGATGCCACCCACTGCTTCGGGCAGGCCACCCCGTGCTCTGGAGATGAGCACGATGCAGGGACCGAGTCCAGAACGTGAGAACTTTATCTGAACCTTTTCACCTTGCAGAGCGGGGTGAGCGGAGGCTGCCCTCGGCCTCCGGCACCGCTGCTGGGGGCTTGTTCCCAGCCACGGCCATCGCTGCCGGAACGCTGGCTGCGGGCTCGGCTTCATCGCCGCGCTGAGCTGGGCTTGGCATCACT